TATATATACCATTGAACTCGAGTAGGACGATAATACGTATAGCATACAGCATACCATATATTGGGTTGAGGCGCCGCTGTTTCAGATTCTGCGCCATGATTTCGAATGAATGATATGCTAAGAATATACAAAGTAAGCTGGATACTGCGGTGGTCTGGAATGTGATTGTCATCCACTATTCTATCCTTGAAAATGAAAGGGTTGTAAGCTGTTCCGAAAGAATTTGTGCCTATCCAATAAATTTTAGAACACACAATTAATCGCACAACTACGTTGAGACAACGATAAGGTGTCTCGTATTGTGTGCACTGTTTGAGTGTAAAAACTTAGATATCTATATGTACGCAACTCTGAATGGGGAGTGTATAGAAGAATAGAATTCACCACATGATGTCAGAGAGGACTGGAGGCAGTGGAAGACCGGAGAGTCTGGAGGTCGTTTAACTTTTTCAGAACTTTCTGCAGACTGCAGGTGTACTCTATTTTTAGGAAAACTATGGCATTTTGTACGTTAGACCAATCAATTACTTGAATGCACTACAAATGCCGGAGAAGTCGCTCAATCAGAATCTATGCTCAGAATGTTGTAAATACGTGAAACCGTTTATCCTGATAATTAACTAGGTCCCGGTTTTCAGACCCAATTAACGTTAAACCGTTTGTAACCCGCAACACGTTTATTACATTCAACTCCCTGAGAGAGAGAGAGAGTAGTAGGAATACACGTTTCAATATATTATTTTGTACGTGGTTTCTTTTTTTAACAACACGTAGCTGTATACTGTAATATACAGTGAGAAAACTAAGCGCGTATAAAGTATTAGGTGTATCTATTATATAAACAGCATCAAAACATATATACTTAAGCCACTTCAGCTCTGATAATTGATCACAATTTCCTACAAATACTCTACATAACATTAGAACAATGGCAAAGTTTGCTGGACAAAAGGCTCCAGGAAAGGGTGGAAGCAAAAAGCTAGTCAACCCGAAGAGGGGTGGGTTAAAAAAAGGCATCAGTAAAGTGGCATTGGCAGAGAAGCGAGCAAGCGCCACCCAGGCAGATAGGCGGACTATTGCGGAATGTGTGAAGGTATAGTTAACCTACTTGGACGTTTTTTTCTTTTACGCAGCTGTCAATATATTTACGTGATAGTATTTTCGAACCATGGATGCAGTTTCATATCGAAGTACATGTGTGTATTCCGATAGTGGCTAGTAGCAGCATCAACCAGCTACTACGACAGATTGTTTAAATTTTGTTTTATATTTTTGCGGTGGCGTCATTGTAAATATATACTATGCACTCGCAGGTTTATGTTTGTTTTGATTAACCCAGCAAACGATATATATATATATATGTGTGTGTGTGTGTGTACGTATATATATGTGTATATATATATATATATATATATATATATATATATATATATATATATAATATATATATATATGTGTGTGTGTGTGTGTGTTGTTTATTATATATATATATATAAGTATATATATATATATATATAAGCACTTGTGAGGGTCTGCGTGTTTTATCGAGGATATTCTGCACATGAGTGACTGGATCTTACTCGACCATACAGGTTTATGAAGAACACATTGTCGGGTTTGCATCCGGAGCAGCCTCGTTTAAGAACAAGCAGAAGGATGAGAATATGTTGTGGAGGCAAAGGTTAAAAGCCAGGCAGCAGGGCGATACGAGGTATGCATGCATGTGTTTAGTGAGGAACATAGCCTCTCTGAACGTATGACATGTACTTAGTAAATAACTAGGATAGCGTATCCTAGATGAGTAGTTGGGCCGGTCTCACTATCAATAGATGTGGTCGCAAAAAAAAATAGATGGACTACTCCCTAGCATACCTAGTTATGTATACATATAAGAGCAGGTACCGACACTTGTACTGTTATATGTATTCTTGCTTGCGCTCGTATATTTAAGAGTTCCTTGTAGCATATTCTCGATATAAGCATGGTGGTCAATATTCGCCTGCGCACTCTTCACCTTGGTACCTCAGAGATGCAAACGATATCGAAAGTGTCATCGAAGGTCACTCCCTGACAGTTGATCTGGAGGCTCGTATGGAGGCCTTCAAGCAGAAGAAATCCGATCACAAACGACAGCAAGATAGCCAGGATATGTTTAGAACAGATATAGCCAAAGACAACCAAAGTAAATCTGCTAAACGGATAGGTACCACCAAAGCCGAACAGTCAGCAGCGGCCAGGAACGTCTCCGTGGCTTCAGGGAACCCGTTTAATAAGAGACAAGTGCAGGTGTGTTTTAACAGTCAATTTGTTATATGCATTATACCAAATTTGTCATTGAGCGTCTTGGCGGACAGCGAATATTTTGTTCCTCCTTGTGATGTCGTGTTGTTGTTTGCACACGTTTGCTACATTACCTAAACAATTGATGAGGAGAACCAATGCTTTCGTTGTTGTTTTTTATTAATGTACCTTCCACTGGTGCACTGCCTGTAGACACTTATCCTGAGCCCTCCCTTCTGCCAGTCGACTTGAACGTTTGATATCCTAAGAAAAGGGGTTGTCACATTCATTATTTTCTCCCATCTTGTAGAACGTGACCAAAGGAAACCTCGATGTGGATGCGCAAAGGAAAGCTATCGAGCAATACCGTTTACTCAAACAGAGGCAAAGGCAACAAAAGCGATAGCAGTAAGCAAATAAAATAGCATGTAATGGCTTTGCATCCGAATGTTTTCAGGCCGCTTTTTGGAAGTTTCAATTGCGCTACTTCATATATCTAGAGTATATCGTGTGAATCTTTCGGAAATCATCAGTCACTTCGGTAACATGTACAGATCCATCTCGTTGCTTAAGCTGACGCCGTCCTAAAATTGATTCTAGTGGGATCTAGGTGCATACGTGTGGTTTTAGGGGCCTAATCTATACGGACGTAGTAGTTTTACTTTGTCCGAGAACCTTTGCCGTCCATACCATACAATGGAGTTGAAACGCCTTGCAGACAAAATATTCTCAAAAATTGCCCCAACGGTATTCTGTGTGTCCCGCATCTTATCTACGTCCTTGCTGGATATTAAGCTACAACTTCTAATTTTATATCGACCTATATCGGCTCTATCACTATCCACCAAAAGTATAATCCTGCTTTCTTTAAACATAATTTTTTCAACGGATATTGTGTATTTATATTATAAATATGTTCTTTTAAAAAACAAATTGCATGCTGTGCGGCAATTCGTTCATATTTTAGACTTGAAAATTGTTTTGAGTGTTAAAGTAGGGGTTAGATACGTTGGCTGTACTATCTGCTAATTTGTGTCGAACGAGTTAATTATAATGATGATTATCTACTAGTTTCTCTCAAAATTCAATACTTCATATATCCTTTATCTAGCTCAAAGCCAGCTATTTACTTGCTATTGTACCGTATGCATTTAAAATCTCTCATGGGGGTGCTCCTTTCATCTCACAAGCCAGTCGATAAGCTATGACCTCTGTTGTTGGTTTCAGGTAAATGTTAAAAACAATTTATAGAATGTTAAAACAATTTATAGTTTGTACTATTGATAACCAATGATCAAGAATGACTCGTAACGTGGATAGTATAGTGGCTAGTATCTCCGCCTGTCAATCGAAACAGACCGCGGAAGACCCGGGTTCAATTCCCGGTTCGCGAACATATTTTGCTTTTGTGCACTCATTGATTGATGACCATGTCAGGATAAATGAAGAGTTGACTAATAAGAGCACCGAGATTGGATGAATTGTCAGCAAAGGTCGAAAACTATTTTTATTCAAGTAACTATTCACCGTTCCGCGTGAGAATAAATGAAGCGGGCCGAACAACAAGGATCTAAGAATTGGCATGTATTCGCATTGAAATCAAGCAAAAGTTGATACTTCTCTTTATTCGAATATACAAATCGTTACAATTATATTCACACAAAAAAAAAACATGAAATCCTAATTTAATTTTTGTGAATATTAAGGTTTTATAATGTACTTTCAGATAATTTCATCATTAAATCTAGTGGTTTAGTGGTATAATTGCCCCCTGCCACGGGGTAGACCCGGATTCGATTTCCGGCTAGATGATTCTTTTTGAACGAAATTTATAGTTGTCTGCTCACCCTGTTTATGCATAAACCCAAACAGGCACGTAAAATATGATCAATTTGAGACAGAGAATTACACAGAATACGATAAATTAACAGGTAGAGTAGACTAGTAGAGTTGATTGTATCTAGTAAAATGATTGCAGATTTTATCTACACGCTTTCGTTATTCCTCATAAATGAAGGTAAAATATCATCTAGCCGGAAATCGAATCCGGGTCTACCCCGTGGCAGGGGGCAATTATACCACTAAACCACTAGATTTTACGATGAAATTATCTGAAAGTACATATAGATATAGAATGTTTATAAACAACTAAAACGTTATTCGTTGAATTACAATGGTGAACTGGTGATTCTGAAATACGTAAATATGGAATAACGATTTAAATCCTCGAAAGTATCAACTTATGCTTGGTTTCTATGCAAACACATGTCAATGCTTGAATCCTTCGTTATTCGCCCGCATTATTTATTCTCACGCGCAACAGTAAATAGTCGCTAGAATGTAACCAACTTTCGACCTTTGCTTCTGATCCTATAGCTCCTGCTAGTCAAATCGCTTCATCTATCCACTGATATAATCATCAAACTGGAGCCAATATATTCACGAACCGAGAATTGAACCCGGGTCTTCCGCGGTCTGCTATGATTGACAGGCGACGATACTAGGAACTTTACTATCCACGATATGAGAAGTGATTTTTACTAGTTCATCTATCATGGTAACGATTCAATTTACCCGAATTGCGACAATCATCGATCTATGCTTGGTCTCGACGCGATAACATGTCAATTATTGGACCCCTTGTCATTCGGCCTGCTTTTTTAATATTCTCGCGCAGAACGGCGAATTGCTACCACAACTTGAATGTGATAAAAACAAGTTTTGACCTTTGCTGTGGCTTCCATCTATTATAGAAACAACTCAATTTACCCGAACGGCGACAATCATCGATCCCTGCTTGGTCTCGATGCGATAACATGTCAATTCTTGGACCCCTTGTCAAATCTCATATCTCCTACTGGTCAGCTCGCTACATTTGGCAAGGTTATGGTTATCATTATCAATACAAGTGAACTGAAGCAAAATTATTCGCGAACCGGGAATTGAACCCGGGTCTTCCGCGTTCTGTTTTGATTGACAGGCGGAGATACTAGCCACTATACTATCCACGTTATGACGATCGTATGATTATTTTTTATCTATAGTACAAGATGTGAATTGTTTTGACTTTTACCTGAAACCTACTACAGACAGGTCATAAGTAGTTAACTGGCTTGTGAGATGAATGGAGACCGCCATGAGAGATTTGTGGCCACTATTTAATTAGTATTTTCTCAGATCACGACGTGTAAGGACGTCTTTTCTTATTATATACTATTCATTCTATTGATCATTCACATGACAGGCGGAGATACTAGTCATTACTATATACTATTCTGGACGTGGGTCATCGTTGCTTTCACCGTAACTAGCCCACATTTTGTGTCATTTTGTAAAGCATGAAGGTCAAGCCTTTTGAAGGGTGTTTCCAAATCCAGATATATCCAACTAATCTCGGAACACTCGTATGAGCAATCCAGGCTGTGTGCGGAATGTCTTGCACGTCTTGTGTCATTTTCGCAGCATACTGTATGGCCATAGCCCTGTATTTTCTGGTCCGTCTTCTCGGTCGTATCCTGTCTAATGTCTGTACTTCTCGGATCAACTCAGTCTTAACATGCAATATATTGCATCGTAGCTGTACTTTTATTATGCATCCTATTGCTCAACCCATATACCCGGACCACTCTGCTGGGTTGATACAGGCTAAACTTGGGTTCATTTTTCTTTTCCAGAGTTCGATTCGAGAGAAACATTGGACAGAGAAAAAATTTAAAATGTTATCTGATTGACGTGAGTAATCTCGCAGTGGCTCCAATAACTCAGCAGATATGGTTCATGAATAATAAGATATGAAAATATGCCGATGCCTCGAGAGTGATTGCGTTATATAAAGCCTACTGATGGTGGGAGGCACATGTTCCTTTACATCAGTTTATTATAGAGCAATTTTGACAATGGGTATCTGCACACCTTGTCCTCCGTTCATCCGCCTTACGAGAATGACTCCCATATTCGAATACTTGTGACAGTATCGTCAGTCAAACATTAAGCATATATTGTATATTAATAGACAAAATGTTATATATATATATATATATATATATATATATATATATATATATATATATATATATATATATATATATATATATATATATATATATATATATATATATATATATATATATATATATATATATATATATATATATATA